ATATTCATGATATATATATGAAAATACAACAAGATATGTGAGCTAGGATAAGCAATATGAACAAAGAGATATATCCTATATGATAAAAATATATATGCAAGGATATATAAACTAACACAAGATAATATATCCTACCAAAAAGGTATACAATATGATATATGCAAGGATATGTAAACTAACACAAGGGGTAAACAATATGAACTAAATAGTGGATCATATAAATAATGAGCTATGGACAATGGCGATATAAGATATGAACATAAATATAAATGAACGCCAAAGCACACTCAAACACACTATATGATCACGGAGTTCGGACCTTCCGTCCTACGTCTCCGCTCCCCACTCCCGGGGAGAAATCCACTAACACAATCCGGTTTGGAAGCCGGAACTTCTTCTATATATGCAAGGATATATAAACACAAGGGTAAACAATGTAAACAAGATAGTGGATGATATAGATAATGAGCTAATGACAATGGCGATATAAGATATGAACATAAATATAAATGAACGCCAAAGCACACTCAAACACACTATATGATCACGGAGTTCGGACCTTCCGTCCTACGTCTCCGCTCCCCACTCCCGGGGAGAAATCCACTATCACTACCGGGTTTCTACGTTTACCCGAACAACGTTTACACCTCACACTTGGTTTTCTAGCTAACCGAAAACTTTACAATCAACACTCTAACCCAAAATATATTATGAATGTAAATACAATAAGCTCAAGTGGGTGTGTGTAACAATGAGATAAAATCAAATCTAGCTCAAATAGCAAACTAGCAATAATAAGAATACGAAAATCAATAATAAAATTGCTAGAGAAAAGAGTTAGAAAACTTCTCAATTGATCAAGAGGTAGAAGGAGAATAGTTGGATGCCCAAACACCAATAGATGATCTCGTCAAGCTCTTGTGAAATTAATTTCTCAAACTCAAATTTCCAAATGCTTAAAAGCTTCTTAAACACACTTAAACCAAACTAAAACCCTTGTTAAAACTCTTTTAAACTTGGGTAAAAACTCTCTTGGATGATGGAAAATAGTTATGGCAAAGGGGTATATATAGGCTTGAAGAAACCAACCCCAAAAACCCCAAAAAACCATTAACACACAAGAGAATGACGAAGCTACACAGGCCGTTACTGCGTGTAAACGGTCGCTGCTACAGTAACTTCGGTCGACCGGTACGGGTCGACCGTGAGCCATATGCAAAGCTGAGTAACATCCAGATTGTTGCGGGTCACCGTTCCGGTCGACGCGGGTACTGTAGCACTATGTATTAACTTTGTAAAATAAATTAAAAATAGTAAGTCAACTCCAAAAATTATGAAATTTTGAGGAAAGGTTCTAAACATGTATAAGAACATGTTAGAGAAAGAATTTATGAAAAAGAATTTCTCAGTTGAGAGAAATAAATGTTTGAACACAGAAATACAGTTTCTAAAAATCTGCTGACATACACGATTTTGTAAAATCAATTGGGCATAGTAAATTAACTCCAAAAATAGTAAAATTTTGAGGAACGTTTCTAAACATGTAGATAAACATGTCAAAGAAAGAATTTATTGAATACAACTTTCCATTTATGAAAACTCATCTGTTTTGTAAAACATGCACGAACATGTGCACGAACAAAAACATAATTTTGTAAATTCCATTAAACATAACAAATCAATTCCAAACTTGATGAAACTTTGCGAAAATGTTTGTAAACATGAAAAAAAACATGTTAGAAAAATAATTTCTCAAATTGAATTTCTATTTGTGAAAACTCATGTATTTTGCAAGTGTGTCCAAAGCATGAAAACTCAAAACCATGCATGTATATATATAACTATATATATACATAGAAACCAAATACGTGTGTGTATATGATATTGAGCTTAAGGTACTTAATACACATAATATAAAACCTAAACTAGATTACCCAAGCCGATCTTGATCTTCAATAAGCTTGACTTGGTAAACGTTGCTGATGAAGCTAAACTTGGATCTTGAACTTGAATTGTACGATGCTTCACTCCACAATTCCGCCAACCTCCTCTTGATATGATCGTGTAGGCTCAATCCATCCAACCTCCAACTACGTTGTTTGTCTATAATAAATAAGAAAAGACAAATACTAGATAAACAATATTAGTGGTAAATTATTTGTTAAACATCATCAAAACAAGAAGGCCAACACAAACTATAGGTCGATGCACCTTTCTCCAAATCAATATTGGAATGACCAAGCCTCAAATGCCACAGTCTAGTCGAATCAATAGAAGTCGTCAGCTCTCCACTTGTTACCGTATTTCTAATAAAAAAGTACAGGTTATTATTCCTAATGCCCTTCATCACAATCAAAGAGTTTTCCACAATCTCGAGAACAATGTCCTCAATATGAACTTTCAAATCCTCTCCAACTAAAACTCCAATCGAGATCAAGTTCTTCCTCAAAGAAGGAACATATCTCACTCCATATAACTCTCTAACCATCCCATCAAACATCTTGATGCAAATTTTACCTATCCTAAGGATCTAGCATACACGGTTATCATCCATGTATACCACACCACTATCCAGCTTCTCAAAACTAAAGAACCATTTCCTTTTAAGGCAAACATGATAGGTTGCACCATTATCCAACATCCACTCAGATTCCTTCGAATAGTTAACTATAGGACTGATAGAAAGTGAATAAACAGATAACTAAGAAAGATTATCATCCGATATGATGAGGTTTGCTTCTGATAATGGTTGTTTTCCCTTTCTCTTCTGCTTGTTCTTCATCCATTCACTGAGCTTTGGACAATCTAGTTACACCAACCACATTGATCTTTACCAACTGTAGGATGCCCTATTTTAGACTGTGATTTCTCATTCTTTCGGTTTGGATTCTTCCCTCTTGCGATCAATGCCTCTGCTATTGTGTTACTTGTAGACTCCTTATCTTTCTTCCTTAGTTGGTAATTCACAAGAGCAGTGGTTACCTCACTGTACGAAAGGGATGCCTTCCCATTAATTAGGGTAAGAACAAAGGTCTCATACTCCTCATCTGGTAAGGAACTCAACAATAACAATGCATTGTCCTCATCCTCTATAATAACATCCACATTCGCCAAATACGTAAGATTCATGTGATCACTAATTGAGATTCTCTTCTTCAACTGGAAACGGTAAAGTCTCCTCTTCAAATGCAAGCGGTTTTTAACACACTTAGTCAAATACTTACTTTCAAGAATCTCACAAATCTTCTTTGCAGAAGTCTCATTCATCACATTATACTTTAGATCCTGCATTAAACAATACCTAATAACACTATACGCCATTCGATTCATCTTCTTTCAAACATTCTCTTCTATATCATCTGGCTTGCCATCCAATTCAAAAGTATCCTCCAAATTTTGTGCGTTCAGTGCATCCAAAACCTCACATCTCCATAATCTAAAATTGTTCGTATCATTAAACTTCTCCACATCTATCTTCGTAGAGTGGATATTAAAACTCTGAATGGTCTTCATGCTAGAAACACCACCCTCAGCACCTTCTTTCCCAAACATCTTCCACAAAACACCAACAACCAATGCGGAACAAACTGAAGAATAAATATAAACTGAGAAAAGATAAATTCTTTATAAAAAAAGATCCCACATTTATCTCCAATTAAAATCCTAGACGAGCTTCCAAAGCGATCTACTCCTCTACCTAACCCCAAGCAAAGCCAGAAGTTCTAATACCACTTGTTGGGAGTACTACTTGTGTTGTGACGATTTACAAATTTGCCAAGAGAGAATGCACACAAATCACCTAATAATAGCACAACTCAAACACAGAAGTTTAACGTGGTTTGGCAAATTACCTACGTTCACGGAGCAAGAAGGGGATGGGTTTTCACTATAAAGAAATAGAGTACAAAATGGAGATTACAAGATCACTCAAAAGCTCACAAATAATCTCTCAAACTAAACTCTCAAATCTCTCACAAAACCCTCAAACAAATTGCTCAGAAAGAACTCTATTTTTTGTGCTCAAAACTCTCCTTCGAGCAACCCCAAAACTCAATCAATATGATTAGAAACCCTAAACAAATTGTGTTTCTATTTATATTAAATAGAAATCCTAAATAGTGCTGGAAACCAAAGCAAGCCCAGACCCGACTCGCAGTCGATCGCCGCAAAGCTCACAGTCGAACGAAATCTATGACAGAAACCAAAAATCGATTACAGGGTTTGACGGTCGACCGCAGCGGTCGACCGCGACCTTTGTCGAAATCTTCCCTTTGTTGTGACGTTTGCGGTCGACCGTGACGAACTCGGTGGTCGACCGGACAACACTCAAACTGTTCCCAGCTTCAAATTTCCTGAACCTCGTCAATATGTTTGCCGTTTCTACAGATCTTATGTGATCCAGCAGTTGGAGGATTCATGGCACATTCTAAATGAAACTTGACATTAGAATCTGCATGTTCAAGTGTACCAATGATTACTTCGCCGCACTTTGTAGACTAGTTTTGTAACGAGAAACTAAAAGTGGAAATACTGATAATTGGAATCATGGTCAAAATGAAGGCTCTAATTAAATGGGGACGAATCAAAATTAAGTTCTTGTGGGTCATGTTACTTTTCAAGGAGATGGTGACAAGGTTGATGGTTGAAGAGGAAGAATGATGACCATTTGCCCCTGAGGAGTGGGTTGTGAGANAGAAAGAGCAGATAGGTATAGAAGGAAATGAAAAGGTACAAAAGACAAAATGTGTTTTGTTCATGCACATATTCTTGCTCTTCTTTCTATCTGAAAAAAGAAAAACATACTTTCGCAAATTTTCAAACTCGTTGTGTCGGCAAAAGAGACTATTTTTGTCCATGCATTTTTCAGTGAACAAATTAAATCGCAAGCAATTTCTCTTTCTACAATTAGTGATCAAAGAAGTCATGAAATGTGCAGGGAAATCACTTGATATTCTACTCTGAATCAAGCAATACAAGTCAAGAAAACTAGGAACTAGAAACATCTTGATAGGTAATAACTACATTCAATCTTTCTCCGCTCCAAGAAAAATTGAACATGGCGAACAGCTTCAATGGAGAAAAATTAAACAGATGCAAACCTCACTCGTTACTGCCACAGGACAAATATCAAAGCGTACGAATGCAAAGGATGTAAAAAAACAAGCCCCCTTTAATGTTCTACCAATGCAAAAATTATCTTTTTGCTAGAGGCAATTATTTTGCACTCATATGCTGAATGAAACTCACAAGATTGGAATAAGAAGACCCTCCTATAGGCCTCTTGAGCCTTTTCGGCCAACTCTTTAGCCCTCTTCCTCCTCTCTTTAGCTTCCTTGTCTTCACCAAACAAACTGCTTACTGCTTTCTCTATGTCATCATTTTTCACCCTTCCATCTGTATTCTCCACGCCCCATTTGCTTGGCCCTTTTACCCCCAGTGATACTCCAATTCTCAGTACTTCCACTATTAGTTTCTCATTCAGAAATTGTTCGGCAAAGTTAGGCCAAGTCACCATAGGAAAGCTTGCTGACACAGACTCTAACTGTGTTATGAATCCTCCTACTGACGGATGTGATAGAATCATCAGTTGCGGTGCCCATCCTCTAATTATAAGCCCTTGATCCCTCATTCTCTTTTCAAATTCTAAGAGCTATAGCTCCACCTCAAAAAGCCTTTCTCCGTCTTTGATCACCCAGATGAACGATCGATGAGAAGCCTCCAAGCCCAATCCTATCTTAAGAAGCTAGGAATGAATTATTCAAACAAGACTGCCCAAGCTCACATAATTAAACTACCGAGCCTGAATCATTGATTCATCCACCCTCAAGCAATGATCCTTGTTAATAGAGGCTCCCCCCCCCCCCCCCCGAACCCCCAAAGCTATATCTTCCGACATCTCTATGATGGGAAGTCGGACAATGGTCCAATAGTCCACGCCTTCTTCCCTGTAGTATTTTGATACAATTCATAATACAACATCTCTAAACCATCGAAAGCATTAACAACCACACCGTCAGATGCCAGCTCGGCCTCCCTAATCTGCTTCACATGTTCGACCTATGTTGTCATCTTCAAGAAGCTTCGTAGCTGCGCCTGCGTTATCACGACTGTAACAGGCAATCCAGGAACCGCAATTGCTTAATTCTCATCTTTCATTGCCTCCTCCATCTCGTTACAACTACGGATACAACGTAAAAACAAAGAAGGGGGAAAGCATCCGTACCCATGGAACATGATCCTAGGGATGTTAAACTCTCAGGAGACATCTTGAGTCCAGTAGTTGATGAGATCAGACACAATTAATGCGGGTGGGAAGAGGCTAATGGGATCGAAGGTGGAGAATGAGGGGGGTCACGAAGCATGCACATCGCGCATCGAGGAAGTTCTTGAATTGGTCAACGTTCGAGAACATGTCCATGTTTTCATGGCCATCGGGGAGGCCAGCCTCGGTGGTTGGGAACCGGAGAGAAACGAAGTTGATGAGTAAGCCGAAATGCTTGACCTTGGGGGATGGTGGGGCCTACGCGTGCATGATTAAAGTCAAGAGAGGAGGAGCTGAAGGAGGCTGAGTTCTTAGTAGAATGTTTGATGTTGGATCTAAGAGAGGGAGAGGAGGAGGTTGTAAGAATTTTGGCTCTTTATATTCTATTATGTGACATTGATAGCAATTTAAATTTGAATTTTAAAATTAACTATTTTGGTAGTTTTAAGACATAACTACATTGGGTAGTTATGAACTCCTTGATGGTGGGAGTTCTATAAAGGGAGTCATTTGTCCACACACAAATGAATGATCAATTAATAAAGTCCTGTGATAATAATCCATCAATTTCGGTTTTGTGTTGTGGAGTGAACAAGGAAGAATAATTATCGGTAATTCGGTGTTTATTGTATTCAACAATAGAAGAAGGTATGCACAATCTAATTCAATCTCGTTTTAGCATGTAAACAAGTGTTAATTTCTGTTAATCATGCTATAAGATTTCTATCAATTGGTATCAGAGCATTTCTACCGAATTTATGATGAATTTTGTTGTTCTACCGAATTTATTTTGGTACAATTTGTTTTCAATAATATTGAAGGTTTTATAAAATTCGGAACTATCTTTTATTAAGTACATTGAGTAGCCTAGTGGTAAAAGTTTTGAGTGCGAAATCCAAGTTCCAATGTTCAAATCCCCCCATATTAATATATCTTGACAAAGGGCCTCGGGGCCTTGGGGGTCTTAGGCTTGATAAAAAAACCGAATATTTTTTTTAAAACTCTTAAATTGCAATTCGAATTTTATAAGGGCTGTTTTATAATGAATTCTTTTGGATTGAAAGCTTTTATAATAACTTTTTTAATGGGATTAATTTTTTAAACTTGTAGAATGGCCACAGCATCTATGAGTCATAATTAAAAAAATTACATCTCATTATTAAATATGTCAATTCAATCCAGAGTTGTAATTATATTTACATAAATCTCTACTATACCCCATAGGGAAGTAAAGATCTATGTAAGTTTATTGGGTTAAGAAAACATATTTGTTTATAATGGGAAAATTTCTTATACCCATAGGCATAGAAATTTTCTTTATTTATTATCAAACTTTGTTGTTCTTAATTAAAGACTAAGTAATGAATCTATGCATTTTAGGACTTCTACCCACAGGAAGGTTAAAAGTCATTACTTGAATAAAGTTTAATTTTTGTAGCATTAGTTTTGTTTCATTTTAATACAGTTGTTCCTGTTTTAGTAGTTAATGAAGTCCTGATTCTAAGCGGCGATAATGTTTAAGATTAGAAGGACAAGATCCTTCTAAAATTGGGCTGCTTAGATCTAGACTTGGCTCTCCATAAAGAATGTCCTTCTACTCCCATGGAGACTACGGAACCAAGTAAGAAGGCTGAATTTGAAAAGTGGGAGCGTGAAAATCATCTCAGTATGATGCTTATGAAATCTCATATTAGTCGAAGTATTCAGGGATCAATTCCTGAATTTGATAAGGTAAAGGATTTCATGAAAGAAACCGAGGAGCAATTTATTGTTTGTGACAAGGCTATGGCTACAACCTTGATTCAGAAACTCACAAATGTGAAATATGATGCTTGTAAGGGTGTGCGCATGCATATCATGCAATTAAGGGATATTGCTTCCCAACTTAAACCTCTAAAAATTGATATATATAAATTATTTCTTGTGGATTTCATACTTTCTTCACTTCCATTGGAGTATGGACCTTTCAAGATCTCTTACAATATACACAAAGAGAATAGGTCCGTAAATGAACTCCTAACCATATGTGTTCAAGAAGAAGAAAGACTTAAACATGAGGTTATAGAAACTGTTAATATAACAACTCATGATAAGAAAAATGTATTTGAAGGCAAGAATAGATTTAATCTGTTAAAGGTTAAAGGAAAACAACCTATGAAGTTTAAAGGCAAGGATCCAAAGTGCTTCTTCTACAAAAAAAAAAAAAAAAAGAGGACACATTAAGAAATATTGTCTGAAATACAAGAAATGGCTCCCCCCCAAAGGTAATATCATATCATATGTTTGTTTTGAATCTAATTTTACGCATGTTCTTAGTAAACTTGGTGGATTGATTATGGTTCATCAATTCATGTTGTCAATACTATGCAGGGGTTTCTAACCCGATGGACACTAACGGAAAGTGAATTAGGCATCTATTCGGGAAATGGGATGCGGTCACTTGTAAAGGCCGTGGGAACGTATCGACTTATTTTAAAATCTAGGTATGTAATAGATTTGAAAATTGTATTCTATGTACCTTCATTTTCTAGAAATTTTATTTTTTGTATCAAAACTAAGTGTTTGTGGTTATGAAATTAATTTCAACGTTAATGGATTGCTTTTATATAAAGATGAAGTTTGCATTGGTAGTAGAATATTATTTGAAAATCTTTACAAACTTGATTTAAACAAAAAATTTGAAAATAATTTACTTTCTTTAAACATCGATAATGTTGGCAAGAAAAGGAGTATTATTAAGGAAAACTCCTTTATATTATGGCATAAGAGATTAGGCCATATTTCAGTGAACAGAATTAAAAGGTTAGCAAATGAAGGGATTCTTCCTAATCTAAACTTTACTAACTTTAGTACATGTGTGGATTGCATAAAGGGAAAGTAAATTAACATTACTAAAAAGGGTTCTAAAAGGAGTACAGAATGTCTAGAAATTATTCATACAGACATATGGGGACCATCTCCAATTTTTTGTCTAAATGGTCAAAAATACATCATCTCATTTATTGATTACCATTCTAGGTACATGTATTTATACCTTCTAAATAAAAAACCTGAAGCATTAGATGCTTTTAAGACTTAAAAGGTCGAGGAAGAACATCAATTAGACAAGAAAAAAAAGATTGTGAGATCAGATAGAGGTGGAGAGTACTATGAGAGATACACTAACAAAGGACAAATGCCAGGTCCATTTATCCAATTCCTTAAAAGTGAAGGTATTATAGCACAATACAAAATGCTGGGTACAACACAACAAAATGGTGTGGCGGAAAGAAGGAATAGGACACTAATGGATATGGTTAGAAGCATGGTTAGTAATGTTGATCTACCGTCATCCTTTTGGAGTGAAGCACTAAAGACTGCTGTGTATATACTTAATCGTGTTTCATCAAAAGCAGATCCGAAAACTCCTTTTGAGATTTGGAAAGGATGGGAACCTAGTCTGAATCATATACACATATGGGGTTGTCAAGGTGAAGTGAGAATATATAATCCTTACGTTAAGAAACTTGATTCAAGAACCGAAAGTGGCTTCTTTATTGGCTATGCTTTAAACTCAAAAGGATATAGATTCTATTATCTATTGCACACACCACAGATTGTAGAAGCTAGGAATGCTAAATTTCTTGAGCATTCAATTTTTGATGAGTTTCCTCATAAAAGGAGAATTGAGAAAATAAAGGATCCTAGTTCATCATCTACAGTTAATGAATTATTTGTTCGAAGGAGAATTGTGCCTATTATAGAAGACACACCAAATCAAGTTACCGAACAATTAATTTAAAATGAAATAGATGATGGACTTCCTCATGTTGTGAAAATTCATGAGGTACCGGTTATCCAAAATCAAGAAAATTTGGATAATCAAGTTGAGGTACCGGTTATCCAAAATCAAGAAAATTTGGATAATCAAGTTGAACTAAGAAGATCCTCTAGAATAAAAAAAAACCAGCAATACCTAGTGACTACATTATATATCTTCAAGAGTCTTACACTGATGTAGGACCTAAAAATGATCCTACTTCGTTTTCACAAGCCATTAATGGAGAAAATTCTAATTTATGGCTTGATGCTATGAAAGAAGAATTAGAGTCTATGGAAAAGAATCATGTATGGGATCTCGTTGAATTACCGAAAGGAGTCTCAGTTTTTGGTTGTAAATGGATATTCAAAATAAAACGAGACTCATCTGGTAAAGTTGAACGATATAAAACCAGACTTGTAGCCAAAGGGTTTACCCAAAAGGAAGGCATTGATTTCCATGAATCATTTTCTTCTGTTTCTTCTAAGTATTCTTTAAGAATAATTATGGCATTAGTAGCTCATATGGATTTAGAGTTACATCAAATGGATGTGAAAACGGCTTTTCTAAATGGTGATCTTGAGGAAAAAGTAAACATGAGACAACCAGAAGGATTTACTTTTGGGAAAAAAGATCAATTATATTGCAAGCTAAATAAATCATTATATGGGCTTAAACAAGCTTCCCGTCAATAGCATATAAAATTCCACAATACAATTCTTCAATTTAGTTTTATAGAGAATATTGTGGATGAATGCATATATGTTAAA